TGTAGATGGAATTCCCATTGGGAGCGAACGTGATCGGGAAAGAGACACAAAAGGAGAAGGGGGTCTGTCTGCAGCCACTTGGATGCTGTTTCCTCAAGGGTACGGGGTTAACAGGCAGGTGGGCACTGCAGCAGCTGGTGCCTGCAGGGGAAAGGGAGGAGGGGGGAGGGTGGGGGGAGATCCTGATCAATTCTTACATTTCATGGGAAAATGATGAGAAACCAGCACTCAGAGAAAGATGGATGAGAACGAGTCGCTGTAAACACACAGATCGATAATATTCATAGCTCGGAGGGGAAAATGCGCTAAGTAAAAGCTTTTTACTCAAATGGATCTGAAGGTGGGGGGGGTGGGGGCAACTTTATGCTCCAGAGAGGGAGCGAGAGATTGAATGAATACAAAAAAAGGAAGAAAAAAAGTACTCAAGGTTTCTTTGGTCATATTTTTTTATTAGAGAAGTGATCGGTATTCAGCATGACAAACGGAGATGTTCCGTTGTTTCCAAAATGTTTTAGGAGAGCAGGGATTCGGGGAGGGTGCTGGGTTTTAGCCTCTGAACTGATAAAACCCAAAAAAGAGCAAACAGTTTAGCTTTGAACCTGAATTGGAAAAGGTGGAGGAATCTCGGATGTGACCCGCTGAATACCGAACGCGCGAAAATACAGCGAGGCTCTAAAGTTCTCTCTAAAGGAGCCCCAAAAAAGCCAAACGCGGTGAACTTCTCAGAGCGGGATAATAAAGGGATGATGATGAGATGAAACGATGTGTGCTGAGCTGGAAAAAATCCTCGTGTGGGACTCGAGGTGGGGTGAGTTAAGGTTGAGGCGAGGAGGATGTTAAAAACAGCGCCCACAATGAAAGAAAGATAAAGACGGATAGCAGAGGAGACTAATGAGAGACGGTGTGTGTGTGTGTGTGTGTGTGTGTGTGGAGGGGGGGGTTAAGCAACGATCCGGCAAGAGATCCGCGGGCTCTTTACTCGACTCTTAAATCATCCAGTTTGACAAGGAGTGGATGGGGGGGGGACAAAGGCCCGCTTTGACGCAGAGCTCTCAATCGTGGAGATCTGCGAGTGGGGGGTGAGGGCAGATCTCTTAACGTCAAAGGAGACGCCTGGCAGCAAGAGAAGGGACACACACCTCGACTCTATAGCCCTGCCAGAGCTGTGATCTACCTGCGACCCCCCCTGTAGCAAGAAAGTGTGTGTGTGTGTGGTACAGCTAGGTGAAGAAAGGTATCTTTTTTTATATCTATATATGTGGGCACGTGCCCGGTGAACTCTGCCCGATACAAGAGGACTGATGGGAGAGGTGACGTTTGAAATATGACAGCTCGCACTTGTGAAGCCCGCTCCCCCTGTAACAAATAGAGAGATCACTCTCACTTTCTCACATACACACACACACACACACAGACTCAGATGGTACTCTGTTAAGATGTGATTAGGCTGGCTGTCAGTCGCCAAGGGGTCCTATCAGGGTTCACTGCACGCGCCCGAGAGTGCACAAACGACGCTCTTAGCCGGACCCCCACACACACACACACACACACACACACACACACACACACACACACACACACCCCCTGGCGTGGAGGAGCTAGTTGAGGAATGTCAATGTTGGAGATAACAACCAGTTCTGACTTACAGCTGGAACGGGCAACTACTATATAAATAATATAAAACAACAACAAAAAGGAGCTCAATAGAATCTTTTTAACTGGGGAAGAAATACCAGCATCGATCAGCCCCGGCTTGGAGAGGCCGCCGAGAGAGACAGGCCCATTTTGGAGTTGACAGAGCAGAGTATCTGCTTTGGCTCGGTGTGCGCGTCGTGTCTTAACCTTCCCGGAGCGGTCAAAACGTTGCATTTACTTAACTTGCGACGCACCTTTTAGATGGGTTCTGACAGGCGGGGGGCAGAAAAAAAAAGAGGCAGATATGATGGCTGACGGGATGAATTTTTTAAAAGCAGATCCCCCGAGGGGCTCAAACCAATGATGCCAAATAAAGCCTCAACTCCACAAAGCTTTACAGGCTTCTGTGAACAAATGGGGACCAAATCGGCCTTCCACTATGTGGACAAAAATATAAAAAATGCACCTTAACTATCTACCATACCGTGGATTGCACTCTCTTATTCCCTTTATTGCCTAATTTATACATTTCCAGGTCATTTCTTTTTTGGATGTGGATGTGTTTTTATGTGGGTATGTCTCTCTGATTTGAGACATTAAAGCTTTGGGAAGCTACAACGGTGCTGTTGCAGCATGTGAATTAGATCTGTGTCCTGTAGCTGTCGTTTTGTGAAAGTATTTTAGTAACCTGGAGAGCTCAGATGATGATGATATATAAAATTATGTTTCAACAGCAGGAGGGTTGTTGTTGTTGTTTTTTTTGCTTTTTTTTTCATTAACTTTCAAGTTTCATATGTGAGGATGTCAGAAAAAGAGAAAGTGAATTGGAAAAAATTAACGATCTTTATGGTGTTTGAGCGTTTTTATGGCTGTGAACAAGTGTTCAGTTGTCTGGTTGTGTCAATGATCCTTTGGCTTTCCTGTCAAAGTGTCCTTAGGTAGGACACCCAGCTTGCTCGTGATGTTTCCATTGGTTTGTGTGTGTGTGATCAAGAAAAGGGACCCAGTTTCCTTTTTAGATTTATAGAAGCAAAGTCAACAAGACCAGAAAAGAGACACATGGATGAAATCCGCTTACCACTCATAGACAAAACCTTCATTTTTCTGTCTCGATTTGAATCGTGGTGCTTGTACCTCATAGTGTTAAGGTAGATGATGCGTTTGATCATGAGATAGTATGGATGAGCGGAAGTGAGTGACACCTGGGAGGAAGATCTAAGAATAGAAAGCGTCACACCGGAAAAAGCAGCGGAATCTTTGCCCCACTGAGAGGGCTTGTGCTGACTGTTCATGCCTGCCTTTGAGACTCTGTGGCGAACTTCAAAATACGTTAAGTTGAGCAGCAAACGTCGGCATTCGAGAGGGAAATCGCATCAAATGCGCCTGCATAAACAAATTACGCGGGAACGCGGCGTGAGGGCTGGGTAAACACACTCGGTTGTGCGTTTGTCAGGAGACTAGCTTGGGTTTGTTTGTGTGTGTGTGTGTGGGTGCGGGTCCCAGCTTGCGGTGTCGGTCACAGCACGCCGATAAACAGCGTGCGGCCGGGGGATGGCGTGAGGACTCCGCTCTCTGTGATTCATGCAGACGGTTTGATTAAAGAGCAATCGGAGCCCCCACAGTTTGAGAAAGGGAAGTGTAATCTTCAGGAGGAAAACTGTGTTCAGGAGCAAAGATCTCAGCATGATTCTTCTAGCTATGAAGTACTGATGAGGAGAGAGGGGGGGGCGGGGGTTGGTTATCCAAAGTTATCAAATGTCTGAAGTTGAAAAGAGGCTGATATTGATATGTCAAATTCCCCCAACAGAGTGTCAACAGCCATTCTAGCCATTATACATCATACAGCGAAAAAACAGAAAATGACACACATGTACTAAAAGGGATAGAGTTTTATGCTGAGCAGTGCCTTTCTCTCAGTCAAAAGGTCCCCACACTCAATCAAGAAATTAAGATCTTGTCTTGATTCAAAGACACCTAAAGTTCTCCTCATTTTCCGTAGTTTTTTTTTTAAACCGGAGCATTATTGCATGTTGCAGTAGCCAAAGGATGTAACATATCGTCCGTAATGCTGTAATCTGAATTCAAAGTGAATATAAAATTGGAATATCCATCTGACAACTGATCAAATGATGAGGTAGTTATGTAGAATCAGGTCAGAGGCTACAGCTTATATGTATCCGTGTCTTCTCTTCCATATTAACTTCCTATTGAAGCAAGTTCTATCCATTCAGCCTTTCTTTCTCACTTTCTATACTTCATCTGCACATATCATATATACATTGTACAAGCATATACAGTGGGAAAAGAGAAGTCTTAATGTGGAAATTTGAAGACAGATATACTGGATAGAGGAAATAAAAAATAGGGTTTTCTATTGTTATATGCTGCACATTTTCCACCTAGTTGCTAACTTTGCCGCTAACTATGCCATGTGGTTTTGGGTGTTTGGCGAAGAGCTTGATTATAGTAGAGGAAGTGAGTGAGAAGATTCTAAATCGAAAAACCAACAATGCTAAATGGATGGGTCTCAGGAACCGTGTACAAAAAACTCCTCAAGATAATAAGCCAGCCAACAACTAACAATGTGACAAGCATGGTAAATCCACGCATTTATACTTTGAATTACGCAGTCTGCAAGGTTGTGAGCACAAGCGTGGTCAAAAAACATGTTTAAACTGTGGCCATTTTAAGAACGATTCTTCCTTTTTTGCCCCCCCAAAAAATGGACTCATTAACTTTTTTCAATTAGTCTTCACATAGTTTTCATAACTCGTGAAAAAAAAAACTAATCCAATAAAGTACCAGCAGGTGGAGTTGGAAAATGCTTGACCCAAGGATGATCCTGAAGCCAAATAACAGTAGAAACCCGTAAAGATCCCATATCCTTAGGTCATAGCTGTTGAAACGGATGCAAAACTGAAATAGGTAGCTACCAGCTTTCTGGAATTGGTTTGTGGAAATGAAATGCCAACACTTAGGATGACAATCGTTAAAATGCTGTGTTGGGTAATGCAGTTATCTACAGTCGTTAGTTTTTGTTTAGCTTTTTATCATGGAACTGATTAGTTTTGACCCACAGACAAATGCAGCTTTTGGTGTGTTTTTTTTTTATCATCAACAAATTCATCTGTTAAGGAGACCAGGTTGCACTCTGACAATTCTCTGTTCATTCAGGATACCAGAGTAAATGTGTCTTGACTTGGTAAAGGTAACAGTTTAGTTTAGTTTCCTTCACCGTGGGGATCAGAGTGGATATTTTGTGGGCAAATCCATCGTTTTCTGTTCTTGTAAGCATACGTTTGAGTGTCTGAAGTCACCTGCCATGGGGAAGCTCCTCCGATCCACAACTGTAATGTGTTTTCTAACGTTCCGATTTTCATTTCAAAATTACGCTCATCAAGTTCCCTCTGTCTCCTCTGGATTTCATCCATCCTGCCCGAGCGGCTGTATCGCTGGAAGAAAAGCAGGCGTCAAGCAATCAGCAGGTCGGTGGTCTGATTGTTGGGCTACTAGCCCAAGACTCCTTAGGAAAAATAGCTTTCCTCCAATATGTCCGGTGTATGGGGGTTTGAGTGCTATAGGAGGGAAAAAGCTCGTGTATAGCCCAGTGGATTAACTTTATTGGAGGGTATGCTTGTTGTTTTTTACAACTGCTAATGGTGATTTTACCTGAAAGGCGGAATTTGGGCATGGTTACGCATTTGTTTTACTATTATCAAAAAGGAAATATCAGGCAGTTTTTTAGCTATTTCGCAAAGAGAGATATTGAATCTTCAGAAAGAAAGGCTCGATTTATTCTGAAAAATTAAAGGGGATTTAATTCAAACTATTTTCTTGTTTGTGAACAGAAACTGCCTATGAATATGTCAGATGTGAAGTCTTAGTGGAACTGCTCTCTGCGCTCTAGTAAAACGCTCCAAAGTTCATTTTGTTTATACATTTTTGTCGTGCGCTCGGTTAATAAAACTGCAATAGGTGGTTCTTTTGATCGTAAATATTGAGCTTTAGAAGAATGCTTCACCTTTTCTTTTTTTTGCTTTCTTTTCTTTGACATGTAGGTCGCATACAGCTTCTCGCAACAACATCCAAAGAGTAAACAGCGTGTCACACTGAGATGTAGTCATCCAAATGGCTGCTGAGATCCGTGCTGTGCTGGGAAACAGCACGGGGGGGGAGGGGGGGGCAGGTTCAACTGAAGATGTGCGGTTTCCAGTAAATTATATCTTTGTCGGTGTCGATGAGCGAGGTAAAACTCTCGAGCCGTTTTTTGATGTTTTCGTGAGCTCCACGGCATCAAACCAAACACGGGAGTGTCATCTCTTATCTGGGGCTCCACCTGCTAAACCTCTGTGTTTTGATCAGCCTTCTGTTTACAACCCACCGACATTGTTCTCTCTTAACAAGCAAAAGCCTCTCTCCATCTAGGCTGCACCCACTCTCGCTCCGCAATCATCCTCTCCTCTCCCTCTTCACCCTCCTCTTGTCTTTGCCAGGCCCGCAGATAGCCTTGCTCATTATTCACCTCATTTTGGCTGCAATCAATAGATAGAATGCAGGGACGAAAAAAAAAAAAAAGATAGATTGATGGTTAAGCTTTGTTTTTGTTTTTTTGTTTTTTTACCAGTGATACAGGGTTGATAAAGATGGCCATTGGAGACCGGTTGAATAAAATGTTTTAGGTACACAGATAGGCATGTTTTTTGCTGCATTAGCATGATTGGAATGCACAAAAATTGTGTGTCCTGCTGTGTGACAGCAGTGGCTGAGAGGGTAAGCAGACAGAAGGAAGGAAGCGATGACGGCTGATTGCTAATGTTTCATAAAAATAAAAAAAAACATCTCATCAGGTGGATCCAAGAGGTTTCAAACCCCGCGGGATGTCCGTAAAACAGAAGTAACATGTGGGCGATCCACAGAGAAAAGCAAAGTGATACATTACAACCCATAATAACTTAAAGAAAAAGGCATATGAAACCACAACTGAACACTAGTCTGTGCTTGCTTTTCATGATGGCTTCCTAGTTTCAGAGACGTCATCGGGGGGAAATACGCGACAATACGACGACAAACACAATAAATCAACACATCTTCAAATGGGATTTTTTCGAGTCTTTCGAGTTCACGTGGAATTAGTGGCCCGGTGACACCACTTTGGTCTTTAACGCAGTCCGCGTTCTCTGTCTTTTACTTCTTTACAAATCGTGTAGGTCAAGTACTCCAGGAGGTAAACACACATTTTCTTGGGGGCAATTTGTGTGTGTGGTGAGCGATCGCCTGCGGGCGGCGGCGATTCAGAGGTGTCAGGGCTCTAGGGCTTCCTGCTGGAGCAGGACTTGCAGCACTGCTGTCCGTAGAACTTATGGTTGCAAACGCCATGTTGGGGAACCAGATGGCACCAGCTGAAGTGGTCGACACAGTGTTCATCTGCAGAGAACACCAAAGACAAGGATAGTTCAATAGAAGTGATGGTTTAGCTTTAATAAATGACCTAAAACGGCTATAACTATGAAGTGATCCTCAAGGAAGCGAATGGTGATCAAGTAGGATCGTTGAGAGAATAGGCCCGTGAAGACAAAATGCTTATGTAAAGCCACATGAATTCGATAGCCTTAAAACTTTAGCCCTGCTATTTGATAGTCCACTTCTGTCATTAGAATTACATTATATCGTTTGAGACCGTTTCAAAGAATTATTTTTCTATAGTAAATTGCAAAAATGCTACAAGTGGATTTTCGGAACACTAAAATATACTGAAAACACAAATAGTCTTAGCTCCCCAACTAAAAGTATAGTAAAGTATTCTACCTCATTTTGGCATATTTGTTATTAATTCTATACATTTCAGAATTTTGCACAAGCATGTTGAATTTTATTTGGTTCTTTTTTCAGTGGTTGCAGAAATATTCCACAAAACATAATGACACAAAGACCAAGACTACTGAAACACTTTAGCATTGTTGTCATCTACGTGAAAAAAATTAGAAGCCGGACAACTGAGCCGATACAGAGCACATTAAATTACCTCATGCTCTTTTCCTTCTTTCCCCCCCCCCCCCCCCCTTTTTTTTCTTCTTTTACTTTGTAACACGGAACAAATTCACGAGCCGAAGCTATGAAGCCGGATAAATCGGCCTTTTTTTTTTTTCCTTCAAAGGACTTTTACCTTTCAGCGTGGGCCCAGCAGCTGTGACCCGGCTGCTGGGGCGTTGTGCCGGAGCCAAGGGAGCGGGGGGGCAAAAGTGTGTGTTGCATGCCCTAGATGTGACGGGCCTCTGGTGAGGCATGCAGCCAGCTGCAGGTCGACCTTGCCGGAGACACTGGATGGTTCGAGTCTGGACACCTCCTCCACAGGTCACCGAACACTGAGACGCGGGCGAGAGAAAGAGAGAGAGAGAGAGAGGCAGTAGAGGGATGGAGACACAAAAGATTAAGCGGCGTGAGGAGAGAACTGACAGGGGACGCGGGATACAAATAGGAGAAGGAGATGAAACTGATGCAGAAGAAGTAAAAGCATTTGTCATAAAAAAAGGAAGGGAGGGGTGGAGGAGAGAGGACAGAGGAGAAGTCTATGCATAGGCAAAGAACAGATGAAGAATACAAACATCCCAAACGGCATGTATTCGCCCTCCAGCGAGCTGTCAGGAGATGGCTCGTCTTGTGGAAACACACTGGCATCACAAGCGTGAGATCAAGCGGACCAAGACACTGGGTTGTAAGAGGGTGCCCCCAAGACTTTTTGCATAATAGATGGTGTAACACATAAACCCATAAATCCTACCCCCGAAAAGGCTCTGGAAGAAAAAGTCAGGCTTTTCGGATTTCATCCGAGGGGGCCATTCCCCGTAGTCATTATTATGCGGCTGCCTAAGACCTCACTCACATCTGTGAGTTTCGCACTGCCTGCGCTCTGTAGTGTACAACTGAGAAGAGATATTGATGCAACGGAGACACTCGCGGTTAGTCTGAGAAGTTCTGGCCGGGATTAAGCTTGTCTTATTCGTTACCGGAGAAGAAAGCTTGATAAAGCGCAATCAATGAGGACTGGGAGGATTTGAGCGGCAAAATAACTGTCGGTGAAAATCTTCCTCAGTGAAACTTTGTTTTCGACACTTCCAGAGAGCAGATGCAGGGGATAAGGCGTTCAGCATTTATTGAGACGATCGCGCAAAAGGTATGTCTAACTAACACTAACACTGCCTTTCTGTAAGTGTCTGTAAGTGTCCCTTCCTAAAATAAACTGCAAGATCTGAGTTAAGAAATAGATTGAGTTGTTTTCAAAGCAAATTATAAGCAAAGGAATGCAAAAGCTACAAAGGGGAAACTACAACGACCACAACTACAATTTCTCTAGCTTCCTTTTAAACAAAGAGAATTCGGGAGAAAAGGTCAGGATTCTGGCTGGAAAGCTTCATGACGTTTTCTCGTGTAATGGGCTCGAGGTGAGAGCGGGCGCCGGCGTACCTGTTGCCAGGGGGACGAGTACCAGCCCGACACCACGGCGCTGGAGGTTGTTCTGCCAGGGAGCACCCGCGGGAACTCCGGGCACAGACCTCTGTTGCACACTTGTTGGAGATCCACCAAAGGTTTGGCCACGTTCCTGCACCTCCGTACGGGGAACTCCACATACCTGCGGGGGAAAGACACGCTGGCTGCTCAGAAAATCGCAATTCCTACAGAGGCCTCCTGTTTGAACAAGCGGAAAAATGGCGGATGGCACAAAGATAGCACAGCGGGGTCTCTGGTGACCGTCCTTGAGTGTATCAAAGTGTGAAGGATGACTGGCTGTGCATGTGAACGCACCCCCCGTGAGCGTCTCTCTCCCCGCAACGAAGCTCTCTCCTCTGGACGCCCGAGCCACAGGACCTGGAGCACTGGAACAGAATACATGAAGGGACCGTTTCAGAAAAACGAATGCGTGTGAGCGTGATCGGAGGGTTGTGATTCTCATAAAAGAGCTCAAATGCTATAGGTTTTACAGGGTATTTTACACATGGAGAGCACATATGATATATAATACTTTACAGACTTTTTTTCAAAATCCATATTTGGCCTCCACTTCTGCCTCTCAAAAATACTGCATGGCATGTTCACATCAAAGAGCCATTTAAGAATTTTGACTGGCTTTAGATTGAAATGAGCACTGTTGGGAATCAAGGGGCAAATCTTCGATTAAACATGTTTTAAACAGGACAATTTGTTAGCACAGACCCTTCTGGGAGAGTTTGAACTGTACAATGCGGTTCAAATGTCTCAGAGCACATCAGAAATCTGACTTGCTGCTAACCCCAAAAACACAGAGATCTGACATGTAACGTGAACAGAAACACCCATGCAACCAAACCAGAACCTATGCAAGGCTAACGTGCACAGAGATCAGGTTTTGTTTGGCTGCTTTCTCACATTCAGAGTTTAAAAGAAACCTCCAAAGCCAAGAGAGAAAAGCAAGTTGAAGCTAGCCATTTATTGGATCGATGGCAACAAAAGTGAGTGTAAACAAAAAGCTTTTGAAGAGATAAAAGTGTTTCTTTGAAGCAAAGCTCATGTCTGCCACAAATAAAATATTAGTCAAGGTTACTAACCTTAACTGATATTTTATTTATTGCTGTTGCACATTGTAGATTTTGTAGCACAAAATACATCTTTTTGTTGGCACTTTGCAGTTATTATGTTCAAATTTGTTAGCACACTGTAAATAAACTGAATCTTTTTCAAGCAAACACCAGGGGCTCAGTAAAAACTATATATACTTACATATATATATATATATATATATATATCACTGACTGCAGGTTGTGTTTAGAAGTGCAAAACTACGACCTCTGAGGTTTGTTCAAATGAAAGGAATCAGCATTTGTTTAGTTCTTAAGCAAATATGCCAAATGCTGTGGTGTTCTTAATAAAGAAAGGCTCTCTGTTTTGTCTCACATCTCGACAGACGTTTCCCAAGGGAGAGGTGCATTAAGTTTTAAACACTTTATGGAAATTCGATTGGTGCCCAAAATACAATCAGCCAGCAAAAAGAGTTGGTTCATCACAGAAATAATTGAGTCGAGATTTGAGAGATAGAAAAGCAACCGATACGGAGCTACAAGGCCGCCCACCATAAGCAGAGGTTTTAAAAAGAAAGCTCCCTAATGGTATTATTCTCGGACACACAGGAATAACCTCTCCTTATTAGGGAAAACAAACCTTTTGATTAAGATGATCTAAGACCAAAGTATTATTTACTGCTACATCCAAGCTGGGCATGAGGCAGTAACAGAATGATGGATGATCAGAGGAGAGAGGGATGGAGTAACATGTTGATGAGAATAACTGGGTTGTTTTTACCGTTCACAACGGTGCTAAATGGCCTCTGCTTTGACCCTGAAAGCCCTCTTGCATTCTTCTGAGACACCGTTCACCCTCGGGTTAATGCATCGGACCTCGCACGAATGAATATAGGTGTTTTGGCGAACATACTTGTGGCTCATTTAAAGGGTGAAATCATGTCCGCAACTGCACTGCTTACAATAAATCACCCCGCAGGGCTGGCAGGTGGAGAAGTGATGCATTCTGTAGCCTCTGTTCTTTAGCATGCAGTCATTGTAAATGCAAATAGTTGCTTTAGTAATGTTAACGCCAACACTATCAAGCTCTTTGGAAGCCAAATAACGAGTAATGATATCGGCACCAATGAGTATTCACTAGTGCACCGCAAACCTGTTCTGAGAACCTGTTTCTGAATCAGCCATGACATAAGATAAAGTCCCCCAGTGGATTCTGCTTCTTGCTCCTTTTGGGGACGTATCCAAGCTCATCCCCTGGTAAGTGTTTGGCGTGCGCCACAAGACCTGGATGCCCTCAACCGGCTCCTTTCAAAGAAGAGGAGCAGCAACTCCACTTTGAGGCCCCTTCCAGCCATTCTTCAAAGTGACCACCTCGCTCTTTCGGTAACTACCCAAAACTCAAGACCTGAGCAGGCGATCGCAAGCTAAATCCACCGGTGAAATGACAACTCTCTCTTTATCACTCTTCAATTGACCTGATCTGTCGGCATCACTGTAGACGCTGCCTCCGCCCGCCTATCAATCCTCCTGCACTAGTACGGCACAGTAGCATTGTGCTATGGAGACTGTAATTAACGATTAGAAGCGTTGGTGATTACTCCCTTCGTCATCATTACGTTCATTATTTCTCACAATTAGACAGCTACTCATCGAGGCAAAAACATGTCTAATTATTCCGATGACAACAAATGCAGTCACTTGGAAACTAGTTTACAACAACATAAAGGGAAAGCCAAGCTGGAAAATCTTAGTTACATGTTAGTTTGTTTTTTGTTATTCAGGAATAAAACAAAATCAGAAACCGGGTACAAATTGTTTCCTGTCATACTCATAAGCTCTCTATATACAATTAGCATAACTTTTCCTTTACAGTATCATAATCATGAACATATAGGGGGTAAAGTTCAGCTTGGTCACATGGACATGTGGACATAATGGATATAAACGCCCGAATACCTGGCCATTGATCAAGTGTGTTGCTTTGCCTCCCGGTGAATCGAGGGTTTTGATTGTAAAGCTGCTCTTCTTGGCTCTGTCATGGATTTTTACCCAAATGACTGCTTCAGTTAAAACAAAAGGCCTTTGTATTTTAAATTCAGAGAGCGACTTGGCTTTTTTTATTGGAGATGGAAGCTCCAGTAGGCAACGATATAGACGTGTAAATAAAAGTTTTTCCAATAGACTATAGGCTACTCGTTCCAAAAAGTCATCTCACCGTCTTTCCTTTTTTTTTTTCTCAGGTTTTGTCTTACCTCTCCCCAGGGAGTCGGAATCCACTGAAGCTTCTCGTTCTTGGGGCAGCGCCGCAGGACGCAGGTCTCTTGGGCTTTGGGCCTGTGATGCTGTCTGCACATGCTGTCAGGAACCACCACCGCGTTGGCCCCCGGATCCGTGCTCCGACAGAAGACGTTCCTCTTCCTCAGCCCTCGGCCGCAGGATTTGGAGCACTGGGAGCGGGAAAGGGGGGCATAAAGCAAAAGCTGCAGCGCAGAAAGACGACTCTCGCAATATCGGCGAGTAATAAACGTATTATTAACAGACGAAATCCTGAACGACTGCACACACTGGGTGACTCCGGACTGTCGTTTGATTGCTTTTAACTTAGCTCTTTGCTTTTATTCTCCAGACTAGGAGAGATTTAATCCTCTGCAAAGTCGCCCAGAATGCTTTTGTTGTGCGTAGAAGGTCACCGCTTTGATGGCAACACATTATAGACTTTCATTAAGCACAATAAGCCGGAGGCTGCGGCAGAAATGTGACCCCCCTCTCGGTGTCTGCCGGGACACAATGCTGCTGTAAACTTCATGTGAGACGGACACTGGAGTCAAGGGTCTCCACTGGGACGGCTGGACATTCATCTGAGCAAAAGACTACACACGCATAAGCCTGTGCACCTACATGCACGTCAGTTTAAAAAGATCCGGTAAGACTATTAATAGTTTGCCAAAAGCCAGATGTTAAGCAGCTAAATTCAATTATGCTACTCTTCAACAAGGAATGAAAATCTGAAAATGTTTCTGATCGATCTTATTTTCAATTCAGCCTCACATTTGATGTGAAAGTGACAAGACTTCTGGTGAAAAAGGCAGTAAGGGTTTGGGAAGTTTGTCGAGGTTTATGCTGTATCGTGGGCTGCTTTTTAAACTCCTTCATCTACTGTTAGTGTTTTCCAACAGAGGGCAGCAGAGCACTTGTTTTTATTTTTAACTGGCAGGTTGCATGGGATCTGTGGGAATAACTTCCCATGTCATGCCATTCACACATCAGTCAAATCATTAACAAATAAAAAAGATGGAAAAGTGGATGCTTCTTTTTATCATGATAAAAAAAACATTTTTTTTAAGTCCTGGTATTGTGTGTTCATAAGCCACCGATAACGTCATTAATGATAAGAGGTCAAAATGTTACAATGCAGTGGGTAACCATTTGACTTGTTTTAAAAATCTGAGCAAATTTTGCAGATGATGCTCAAAAGATCAGCATCACTCTGTCAAATCAAGAAAAAAAAAACCTCCAGACGTCTGATGCCTTAAACTTTCATAAGCCACAATGATTCAAATGAATTCCACTTAAACCTCCGAAGAAACCATTCCAAACAAAGGGGTGCTGTGGAAAGTGTATTCAGAAACAGAATGACACTATTTCAAGAACTCAAGATCCAACATTTAGAAAGAATCGGATTAATTTGATGACAACAACATGGTCACGAGACCTGCTACTATCAAATTAAAGATGAGCAAAAAAAAAAATCTAACAAGTCTTTGTTTGTTCTATTAGGAACAAAACATCAGGTTCATGGGATTGAGAAATCAATACTCTGATTTACATTTTACAAAACCAGGCCAGTGTCTCAATTACATCAGCAGGGCTCTTTTTACACTGATCAAAAAATATCTGACATCTGGCTCCGGGACGCGATGAGTAAATGTTTAATCTTTGTTTAGACCCATGTCAAACGACTCTGCGGGAGACATGGCTTGTTATTGGCCCAATGCTAATGCTCACTGAAGATGCTGCAAAAAAAAAAAAGACACAAATATGGAGACAGCTCTGCCAGTAGTCACGCCTCACACAAATACTTTTGAACTGAGGACTGAGAAAAAAAAAGCAGGGAAAACATTTCATCTGTGAAAATATTCCCTGCAGTTCATTTCAACCTTTCTGTCTCGGTTCTTTCAATAGTCCGCGATCCTTCGTAGGACGCCTAAAGCCAAACGTTACCAGCCTGTTAAAGTGAACCCGGTTTATAAAACTTCTTCCTGAGGTTTATAAAACTTCATCCAGACACACGTGACTGGACCGCTTTTTACGCAGAGCGCAGTGCACAACCGACTGTGACCCTCACCCCCTAACCCCTCCTCCTGAGCCGGTTCAGAGCCCACGAACCCACCTGGGACCAGGACCCGGCGCTCCACTCGGGCGGGCAGGCCTGCGTGTGGCACGGCTGGACTTGGGCGGGGGAGAGGACGGGGCAGAGCGAGTGTTGCACCGCCTCCTCCCGCTGGTAGGTCACCTTCCTCAGGCAGCGCAGAATCCTGGTCTGCTGGCCACCTCCACACGAGCGACTGCAGGGCCCCCAGTCTCCGGTCGCCCAGCTATAGAGAGACAGGAAGGTTTTTTTAAGTCGGTAGCAAGAGATGGAATGAATGATGTGTTAATTAGACGGGCAAAATGGTCATTTGCTCATTCAAGCTGTACTCAGTCTTACATACAAGCAGACCACATGACTAAAGTCCTCATCAGGAGCCACTTCGTCAAGCTATAAATTCAAACAATTATCTGTGTTCACCTGATTTTTAGAGAGGCCACCTCTCTGCTTTCACACACTGATCCTAATCATAGCACAAACTGGTGGTATAAAAGTAAACACGCAACCCTGACACATATATATATATATAAATATATATATTTTCTCAGCCCGCCCATTCCATCCATCTTTATCTCTACAGTTCCTATGAAAACTAAACATGGAAACCATATTGTATACAGCCCTCCATAACCGCTTTCCCAGATTTCCTCAGTCGACCGCACTATACAACGCTCAATAAGGCCAAAGACAGATGTGGGCAGCTTCACGTTTTTCCCTCTTCTTTGCCTTTTTTTTCTTGTTTTTACTCCCAACAATCCTCACCTGTCTGCTCTGTCCTCATCACTCGATTTTTTCTAATCTCTTCACACTTGATGGACACATCTTTGCCTTTGAATTCCCACTCGGGTCCTGTCAAAACGCCAAATAGCCGTGTCTAAAATAGACTGTCTTGGCATCGGGGTTGGACGGGGGAGATTTGAACAAATGAGTGGTCTGACAACCACACGCTTAGAAGAGGGAGAGGGCGGGGATGGGGCAGATGGCTCCGTCCAGTTCTGAGACAGCGTGCTACCACAGGGACCATTCCTCCACGCCGCCGACCTGCTTCAGGGGCAGGGGAAAAAATTGCTTTCATTCCCTTTCAAATGCCGCAGACAAAAATGAAACGGCAGGACTGAGCTGCAATTTGGAGAAGGGAAAGCCGTGGACCATTGGGAGCCGAAAGCATTGGTTTGGAACTATTGGCCTGTGAACTGTTTGTTTTTTTTTCCCCTCTGTTTTCCCGACTTATAAATAACAATATATCATTGGGAAAAAGCGGCTGATGTGCCACTCCGCTTTGCTGCAAACCGCCAGTGACCTAGCTGTAATTTGTAAATCTCAAATGTCTTCAAATGACATATTTTGAGGTAGGAAGAGTGCAGAGGAGGTTCTGAGAGCCCAAATCAGGCTTTTGCAAGCAGCCTACTTTTAGGCTTCAGACCAGATGACATTATATGCATACTTTAATAATAGTAATAATAATGAATTTGATTAGAGGCTTTAAGCGCTAAATGTAGACACACACAAGTACACTTCTTTTCCAGAAGGACATTTAAAGTTATTGATCTGCAATGTAAATGATGACTAATAGTTAAAAGAGCTCTTTCATCGTACATCCCAAATGTCAAGTGTCTGCTCATCAAATCCTGATGTTTTATACTCTTTTCTGAGGAAATAAGTGGCATGGCTCCAACTTTTTACACCCTAAAATAGTTATTTGTTTGAATCAATTCAGTGCAGCAAAGAACAATTTCAAAACCGATTTAGCGCCTCGTTCACAAGAACTATCCCATCCTACATTATCTATAACTGTAGAGCTAAATTATGTGTCTAAAGATGATGTTTGCAATGATTTGGTGCCGTAAAAATAAAATGGAGGTTAATTTCCTGTATTTAAAGCTAAACAATGTAAAACTATTTCTCGAGTGACTGGTTAGACTGAAAGACTGATTACTGTTGCCATTTTATTGGAAGCAAAAATAAGTGGCTTGTGGATTGTGTTTTAGTTATTCACTCTAAGGAAATATTTCATCAGAAGCTTGTGTTTGACTGAAAGCTGAACTACAAAGGTGGAGGATAGCTACAGGGTTATGAAGACCAGACTTGAATATAAATGCCCATATATATATATATTTTTTTTTTACAGATAGCTGGCCTGGATGAAGAGTCTGAGTTGTTAAAATTCTGCCTGCATCCCTGTTTTATGTTAAAAAATGCTCCGACACCGCAACCGAGCTTCTCAACAATGAGGGGAGAGAAGGTTAAAAGCGAGCCTGAAGCTAAAGAGGCTGGCTGAGAGTGAAAGGGCGCCGGCGTGTGCATGGGGGTTTAAACAGGTTCTCCACGGCTCGCTTTGCCGGGGCCCCCGTGGGAATCCCGCCGTCTCTGCACAATAAAACACGGATAGGGCTGTCAGCACCCGCGATACACATTACAGAGATAAACAGACATTTTTACATTCTCCTCCTGTCACACGCATACACACTGCGCAGATGCAACCAACCTCATTGTCAGATTTCTTCCTTTTTTTTTTCTTCTGGGCTCTTGAATGCGTGCCCATACATCCTGCGGATTTTAATGCAATCATTGAAGCTTTCATGCTGCTCACTCAACTCGACTTGGTACACAGTTGGCACCGAAGGGGTGTCCGCCACCGCACATAATAAGACCCACGGATGTCAAACTTGCTTTATTCTCCCGAATGGACAGTCACCCCGATATCTGGACTGTGCCAAACAAAGGCGCGCAACAAAGCTGTTTAATAGCTTTCACCGAGATAAGAGAAATGGTATGCCGAAGATTAAGGTCCGGAAATGTCCTCTCGGGTGGTGGGAAACTTAGTGGGGAACAGAGGCTGTGTGTCGGGGCGTGTAACCGATAGCTGTCTGGCTCGCTCAGCCTGTGACACTGGAGAAAAATTCTGTCCAGGCCTGTTGCAGCACGGCTGACAGTGAACAAAATCACCTCATTAACATCAAACGCGAGCGGGCTCGGTTTTCTATTTTTAACCTTTGCGGTAGGGACTCAAAATAAATTATCCCGGGCATCCTACAATTAGACAATACGTGCGCGGCTTGACGATAAGTGCGCGCGATGCCTTTGTGTTTGTGTGCATGCGCGTGCAGTTTCTCTGAACCCAAGACACGGTTCCCTGCCTGTTTCTTAGGGGCAGTGCTGTAAATCAAGCCAGCTCCAGTTCCCTAAGCCAAAGGCCCACATACTGTAGGAGAGAGGCCATTTATTCTGTTCTGTTTCAACTTGTTACTTCGCCGCACTTTCACCTGGTTTCCTACTTTGCCTGCTGTCCCCGAATGCACACTCTTTCCTAAAAATGCATTCCGTTAAGCACACCGTCTGGCCTGATTCTCCTTTTGAAGCATAAATCTTTGAAGTGGAAATAAGTGAAATGGGTAATATGAATGGGGGGGGGGGGGGGGGGCAATCACTGTAAATTAAAGTGAAAAGTCTATTCCAGATTAATAAACATGACTTCCTGTGATTTCCTTCATGCTGACATGCTAACATCATCGAAGCCACCGTGCTTTGTTCATCTTGTTTATAAATTTCCCGTCCTTACATTACTTAGATGTTGGCATTCCAACATTTAGAGACAAGTTTTAAAAACTTCGTTAATCACGATTGTATTTTGAAATGCAAAAACACTTAATATCTCAGCAAAATTACTCTCAGTGTAACCATTCTCAATCAAGCTTATTATTGTCTAAAGGAGTGAATCATACTGTTCATATAGATTTTACATATATTTTGCAGACACGCTACTTAAGAAAAAGGATATTACTGTCTTTATGTATTATTGTAAATAGTTAAACACATTATACACATTTTGAAAAGTCTGGACTGTTATTGGAACCTATCAAATAACTTTACGGGCTTTTTTGCCAATCGAATCTCTGGTTGCTCCTTGTAATTCTAACTGAAAGCTATCAACTACCAGTAAGAGGAGAATTAGCTTATTTAAATCCTATTTCAGTCTTAACGATACAGTTGCCTTCACATTTGTACATTGTGTTACGTGTTACGTTAATTACATTTATGATTTTAGCACAAAAATTAGCCATAAACATGTTGATCATTTGAAAAAAGTTCCAGCAACACAATAATCAGCATTCACAGGTTTGCACATTTCATCTTTAACTATCGAAGCCTGTCTGTAAAAGCTATATTTGCTTATTTTTTAGCTTTCTTTTTTAGTTTTGCTACTGAGCTCCTGCTCTTTGTGTAAGGATTTTTTTCGGGAAAAGTATTGTTTGCTTAAGAACTACCACCACTCTTGTAATTACAGTGTTTTTCATTCAACTTTGTTGTTTTTTTCTTCATCCATTCCTTCCCGGGCAGAAGAGACTCACATCCCATTTAAAGGTAGCAAATTCTATTGTAATAGAATGTGGTTTTTCCTCACTATCTCAGCTGATTTTGTCAGCTACATACATAAGTATTTTATTTTTCTAATGCCCCCTTTTCCAATTTAAATGATTGATTGTATTTAGCTTTGGACATATTAACATTGTTTCTACGAGAAAAATCTATGCAATATAAAGATTCATACTGCAGTTTCCGGTTGATTCACAATTAAAACAAATCGCTGACCCTATACAGAACCATACCTCTAATCATCCCAATAAATTTTTTTTAAAAATCATGATCTGCACATCTGTACTTGCTGAAACAAGTAAGAGAGTTTCAAAAGGATAGGGGATAAAAAGTTCAGATGGTTTTCAAAAAAGGAAAACAGGGAAAAAGAAAAAAAAATTAAAGAGTAGGTAGAGTATGGAGATGAACACAGACTGAGCAGAGTGGTGGCTGACCACAGCAAGCAGGCGACCTCGAGACCACTCCACCACAGTGTATGTTTCCCTGTGTGGGTGGTGCACCTATAATAAAACAGATCCTCAAGTTCCTGCAAATCTGGCGACATTACAAGCCATGCCACACAACCCGCAACCAAGAACACACAAAGGAACTCTTCGACCCCACGACACACAGACACACACACTGTAGCAGCACTTACTAGGCGGGGCAGGGCTGTGTGTTGCAGAGGTGGGAGCCCAGTGTCGGCCTTCTGTGGGGGTTACACATGCTGGAGTTGACCTGGAGTTTCTGGTCCTGCAGACAGATGGCCTTGGTGGAGATTCGACCTGACGGAAGAAGAAGAAGAAGAAGAAAAAATAACATTTTGATCAGATAAACAAATTAGCATTATTAGAGTTCATGCCTGAAATACTTAAAGATCAAATCCAACTAATAATCCAGATTGAAGCATAACAAGAAAATCACTCCTGAATTGGAAGAAGTATCAAGCAAGCTGTGCTTCATTCTGAACTTGAGGAGACAGCCCGTTTTCAGTCTCACCCCATCTCAAACAGAGGCATTCAGGGATGAGAATGAATTGGGAAAGAAAAGCAAACTTAAGTTTGGGGTGGAAAACTGCTGTTCAGGACAGAGGCTTCGGCAAATGTAATTTTCATCCACACATCACATGCAGACACAGAAACGCTGGCTAGAAATATGAGCTGAGGTTCAAGAATGCACTCTGAGATGGGCTGTTTTTTTTGAAGGAGTCCAGTATAGAGGCGCTAATCTGACATTTTCCATTTGTCTCTGGGAGTTTTCTCATCTGTCTTTTGGCAGATGAGCCATAATGTTGGCCTCTGTGCGCGGGGCCGGCCCCGGAGCAGCCTCACCTCCAGCACACGGAGCGGAGCAGTCCGAGCGCACCACGCCCCAGCTGTACTCCGGTTTCCTCTCGGTGCGAGGCAGGGTGTACTCCCACAACACACCCGGGTTGGTTCCCTGAAGAAGGATCTGTGAGCCAAGAAAACAAAATGTCAGAGAGGTGTCAGCGTTGTGAGCGGGATTTGTCTCGCAGCCTTTATTCATCTTGGGAAAAACACACTGATAGCTGCTACCACAACCTCACAGCTCCTATACAAGACATAAAGAAAATAAAAAATAGAATGTTAGCAAAAAGCTAAATATAACACTAATATGAGACACTGCTGGATCCAAGGTTCAACCAACAATACAGTTCTTGAAAACGTTGAGTCTTAGTTCAAAGCACCTGTGTAAGCATGAAAGGCTCAATGGACAGTGGACAGCGTGTTTCTTTTTAGAAGTTACCTCTCTCTTTTTCACCACATCCTTCACTCCGACCAGTTAGCTGTGAGATTTATTTTGACATTCAAGTCAAGCACAGACCAACGGATGAATGAAAGCAGACGTGCCCATTACAGGAGGAGGATTAGGCTGTCATTAAAGGAGCCCCCCCGTGACAATAAACGTAGGTGCATTGCACAGTCAGCACATCGTGTGTCACTTTAAAACCATCTCGAAATGCCTGCGCCAGATTTAGAAGAGTTCACTTCCTCATCGTCCACAGCACACCTGTTTTATTCGCTTTGGGTTGTGGCCAACCCTCTATCCATTTGGCTATTTCTATAAAGTCCGGCTGTCCCGATCAATTCCCATGCTTGATGAACATCAGTCCATCAGTATGTGTATAAGGAGCTTTGACAGACGTGTTTACTTTGTTGTATACCCTACAGAACAAAGGAATCTCCCTTCAACTGTCCAACTTGGAAATACAAGTACCCCCAGGGCTCAATACACTTTAACAGCTCTGGAGCAATTCCACCGACTTAACCAATCACCTTCCGATGTTTGAAAACTGTTGAATGGGTATAGCTGGCCCCCGCACCCGACAGGGGTAAGAGGACAGATGTTCTTCTCAAGTGAAGCAAGAAGCTGTCTAATGCCCGCGGCATATACCAGCAGAAGAATATCCATACTTCTGAAAAGAGACAAATTGGTGTACGGAAATATTTAGACATAAGTGGAGACACTGACAGAGGCAGACAAAGTCGCTAATCCAACAAGACAGGTTTTCAGAAGGAGAAAGACGAAAGACGAGGAAAATTGTCTACTTTCGCACGGGCATTCAAAGAACGATGAAGAGGCCGACATCGGTGTTCGTTCAGACATTTTGCCCCAGTCAACAGCTCCACGGCCACAATAATGGCTGACACACACCGCACACGTGAACAATCAACCCATTTCAGACACAGATATTATTTGCACGGTTGCAGCTTCATTGGGACAAGAAGTGGCAAAGTTAACTGCTGCGGTTGCAAAAAGAAGTCAAATTTAATAGTCTGCGAAAAAGTGATGACATTTCCTACCTTGGTGGAAGTTTACTTTAAGATGTGTATATATCTATATATATCTTTTTTTCTTCAAAAGCTTTTGCTGACACATTTCTTGTAAAATTACCAGCAATAATTCAGTGCAAACGGGAGAGAGGAACTTTAATGTACACATTCCGGTTGTTCCCACCTACCCTTTTATCCACAGTACTAATGTTGCTTCTCAGAGACTCCCCCTCTCCAGGTTGTTTTACTGAATCACTTAGTTTTCTGGCGTCTTTTAATTATGCTACGTCATTTAAGATACATTTGTGACTTTTGGCGTGAACTGGAAGTTTTTTTTGGGGGGGGGGGTCCTGTCTAATTTTACAGTTGTTTTGGAACTGAAGTTGGAGTTAACTTTCGTATCTTATTAAAAGCCCTGCAACCTGTCCAATGTGTACCCCGCCTCTTACCCACAGTCAGCTGGAATGGGCATCCCCGCCACCCCTTCCAGAATAAGCGGCACAGATAACGGATGGATGTAATTTAAAAAAGAAAAAAAGAGAACATCATTCTCGAGTAATGAGTTAACATAACAGTGAGGCCTCCACTAACTTGAATTGGCCTTCTCTCTTTAACTTGTAGAAATATCCAGTGCTGGCTACTGGATGTCTTCTGTAATAACGCCCCCAGATTCTGAGGCCCGCGTGAGTGATGTCAATCTGTCGCGGTGCAGTGCAACGGCAGACCACACAATTTCTTGGTTTTCACAACCCGACAACCGCAGCAGTCATCACGTCAGACGAGTCGATGATGAATTGCGAGCTTACAATGTATTTGGCCCTGGACTGGCATGACCTTGCCTTGCAAAACCACAAGAATCTCCAATCCACGGGGGGAAATAATCCTGCCTGGTATCCACTCCGGAAGCAGCCATATGTTATGTCTTGAGCCTTTATCCTCCTCCTCCTCCTCCTCCTCCTCTTTTGAGCTACTTCAACCCCCTTTCTAACAGCAGAGCGGCTGTGCAGATGTGAACACCTTGTAACAGTTTACGCTCACACTCTCCAACATTTGTTTTTCTATCAGTGTTTCAAGCTGAGTAAGGGTCTGCGAGTGATCTGTGCACACATCCCCCCCCCCCACTGCCCTCCCTCTCTCTCTCTCTCTCTCTTTTCTTTTCTGTCAAAGAGCCCGTAAAGCAAAATGTGTGAAACAGATGATCTCCACTAAAAAGAGAAAGAAAGTAAAACAAAAAAAAACCTTCTTTGCTTTCACGTGTGTTTAAAGTCCCCCGTGTCCTGACCTTAACTTCTCACATCCAGAGTTCAATTGCAGAATTCTTAATCTTTTAATCTCCATCCCCTCTCTCTATCCTCCCCTCTATGTCAACCTCTGTCTCCTTTTTTTTCCTTTTTTTTTTGTAATTACTGGACATACTTATAGAGATTATGCTCGCATCATCTGCAAATCAGCAGCATGCTGTCACTGAGTGCTCTGCAGTGCAGATGTACGACTTGGACTCAGGGAAGCGGCAGCACCATAGCCAGCCTTTGAATGCTGCTTTGTTTAGAAAATTGTTTTGGCATTACGTCATTTTGCTTATATCCAGAAATGTTATGTTCTCTCTATATATGTTCTATATTATTGATACGGAAACAATGCATTCGACCCGACAAAGCGGTCATGTTAGAATTTCCCCACTGTACAAAGTCACAGTGAGTGTGCCAAAACTCAGCGGGGACATTCGTTTTCTAAACTGTGATGGATACGTCTGTGAAGCGTGACAGGCAGTTTGGTTCTACTGTTTGTTTGCGCTTTAATTCCGGGGTGCTTTTAACTAAATAGTCCAGCTGCGATATTGCCACACTCCTTGTTCGCAGCAATTAACTCGCCAATAACAATGTCATCATCATCGTCCTGCTTTCCAGCTGTTCTCTGGCTCACTCCTGGCTACGTTGAGTTTTCCTGTGTCCACTGGAAACATTTCAGCAGCCACACTGCTAATATTGGTCACAGTTATTTCATTTTGCGGCAGTTACTTCATATCCAAAGACCTTAGACTGTAGGTGCTTTGAAAAGATGAGCATGGACGCTGTGATGTCACCAAATGTCACAAGTTTAGTTAGTTAACTGCTGTCAGATTAGGGCTTAGCAACCAAAAGCAGCCACAAGTGGTCCTGGCTTGCATACCAAGGTTTTAACTGTTGCCACATCTTCAAATCAAGAACACAGGGCAGATCTGAAATCTAAGCACAAAAGTATATGAGAGAAGAGACTGTTGGAGGAAAACAAACAGATAATAACTCTTAGCAATCACTGGAAGTATGGATGCAAAACGTTATATTTTGGACCATAAACTGCATTATTAAAGTCACCGTTCATGGCAAAAACAACACCATACCATTTTGACTGTAAACACCAAGGTATCATCCAGCCCACGAAAGCCCTAAATGATGGATCAAAGCATTAACCTATACACGCCATTTGAAAAAAAAGACTCCGATATCTTAGAAAAGTTATTTACTGCTTTCAATTATATTCACTTATAAATCACTGCAGCTAGTTCAGAAGGTCCATGAATGAGGGAACCCTGTGTGCATCTTCACAGATGATACAGTGACATTAAAACAGTACCATGGCAAAGCTAAACAACAAAAATATCCATTTGGATGCATTAAAACGCAACAATGTTATTCACACAGAGCAGGGCAGAGTTGAACTATACTTCCTCCCTCCCTCTCATATTAATTACAAAGAAAGAAAAGTAATTTCACATTGTTACACCACTATGATTATGTAAAAATGCTTAAGTGTCCAAACGGAACTGAGCATTTAAAACGAATGCTTATGCATTTAATCCATTTGTTCCACTCCAGTGACAGGGGAATTTCAACCTTCTGAGAACCTCCCATGGAGTATCTCAGCATGGCTTGGCACAGGTACTTTGGACAAAATGCTAATATGGATGTGACAACATCTAGATACTAGAAAGATGTGCATAATTATTATTTAATATTCTACTAAGCTGACATTTTCTGGCTCTAATACAAAGACATTTTAATTTTTAAAAATGTAATCAATTGATTTCAATCAGATCCTAGACTCGAAGATTTTTTTTTAAATCAAGTTTTGCCTTAAAAAGGGGAAGACTAACTCATGTGTTATAAAAGGTCTGAATGAATACAATGAAATGTCTTGCCCGGCGCTTGGGCCAAAAAGTTTGTAGCTTCCGGGTTTGCTTCCAACTTGTGCGGCCCACATGCACACTGGTGTTTCCACTGCTGCTCTTGCTTTAGCAATGCTATAAACACGGAGCTCATCTGAGACCGAGGGAAGCCGTGTGGGCGTTTGGTCCTAAACCAAAATACCAGGTCCAGATCTGGGAACCATAAATGTCAGATATTCCGAATTTTGGGTCAGTCCAGCTGGTAGGGATATCTACAAAGCAAGCGAGAACATCGATCTGCTGATGAACCATCCATTTTCCGTCTGCTTTCGGTTCTACACAAAAGCTAAGGGATCCAAATGGACTAACTAGGAACCAGTCTGTCAGGTCCTTTCGAAAACTTGCAGGAACTTCACAGCAATATTTCAAACTGTTAAAATTCTTAAGTATGAAGCATATCAGGGAATTCCCAGTTTACATTTGTACAGTCTCTGATATATCTGATATCTAACATGTAATGTATCAGCCACCTTAAATTATTCCAATGATGTTTGTTGTACTTAGCGTTAGCATTCTTAACCACATCAGACTAAATTCCGGATTATCCACACGCAATTTTTGTCCCATCAGTCGTTAATCGTTGCACATACAGTTCGTAAAAAAGGAAACACAGATGTGGATCTTTCAAGTTACTTCTAAATAAACCTAAATAGGGACTTTACATATAGTTATTTCTGTTAGCATATTAGCTGATATCAATGTAATAAAACCGATTTCTCAATTCAGACCTTATGTAGCTCAACACTTCTGTAGATTTATGTATGCATATGTCAAATAAATATTTCTAAAAATTCATATGTGCTTGGTAATGCATAACAATATTGTCAATCCAGTTTGGCAAGCCATCTAGGTTTGACACTGTGCTTCCAAGGCTTCACAAAGGGTCATAGCAATGTTCTGCTGTGTTCGGTGTTTGTTAGAATATCCAACACTTTTTCAGAGACTTTCTTGCCAGCCGTAGAGTTGAAATTACCTTTAGAGAGTTAAAATTACCTTTAGACAGCTAACAATTTACAGGAGGTGTGCAATATTAGCCTTTTGGTCACATGGAGCAAAAGGCTCGCTAGCCATTCAGGAAGTTTGAAATGGAAATGTACCAGAATAAGAGAACTCCAAATAAGTCTCTCCAATACATATATCATAGCATTCTTGTCAGGACGTCAGCGGGCTGTTCTTTGGCATCTACCGCAGTGGCCCAACTTAGCTCCCTACAGACCAAAGACTCTTAACTAAAATAGCAACATAAACACTTGGATATTTCCCGATGGTCAAACAAGTGACCAGCCAAGCATGTAGGAAACATAACACTGGTATTTGTCCTGGGTTTAGAGGACACTGGCTCCTGCTTTAACCACAGTATGTCAGTAGCCCAAGGGACAGAGTGGAGACTAGCTTTTGCATGAACATCACACATGTTGGAGGGGAGAAAAACAACAGTCTGGTTTCCACTTCTGTTTTCACATCCAGGGCTAAGGGGTCAAGAGAAAATAGATGCTTTTGCTGACAAAGTTACTGAGAACATCCCCCACCATTGGCTGAGACCTTCATATGACTCTGCGGCTTGGTGAGAGTTGGCCTTGCTGTCAGTGGGACACGTCTGTCCAGCGTCATATCTGGCTGCCCGAGGACAGGTAAGGACTCGCACTCCCCTCGAAGCTCTGGTTTTTAACACACCACTCATTGCAAAATGTTAAGAAAAAGAGAGGGGGGTTGGGGGAATACCAGCTCATAAATCATCTGCTATACTGTGCAGAACATCTCACTCTAGGCAACCATCTGATTTTATACTCTTCATCCCTGCCTCCAAAGAAAAGCTGACTTGCGTATTTTACTCGCTCTATTAGCTTCGCATAACATGGCTGCAACGGAGCACTTTTGAGGTCAGGGGGCCATAGGGGGGCAAATCCATGGGGGTGGCGGATGCATACATGGATGTGACTGTGGCCGTGTTTACACTGGAGCTGGCAGTACCAAGGCTGTCCCGCTCGTTTATGAGCAGGACGGCCTCTGCCACGGGAGACTGATCTGAATGGTGAAAGTTGCACAAAGGCTGGGTCAGACTAATTGTGCCACAAGCCGCCCTTTGATGTCTGCGTTATTACCGTCATTCTGTTGACATTTAAATGACTGGTTTTGCACAAACTTCAAAACAGGGTTTTTCTCGACTGCAAAACTGAGGGGCAGACCGTGCAGATCAACGCGAAGAGTCTGTTCCTTTTTTGTGGACAAACGGAAGCTAAATTGGGCCCCGAGTTGTTGTTTTTTTTTTAAACCGAGCAACACAACATCAATGGCGTGACAATGACATCCTTTTTCTCCCTATAGCCCCGCAAAGAAGATCAACAGCTACGTGGCACCTTTGTTTTCTGTACCACCCAAACGACTTTTTTTCCAGCTAAGCCTCATCATGCCCAGGCTTAAGAACAGGAGTTGCAGCAGCTTTGAGGTCTTGTCACAGTCAATTGCCATAAACGAACATCACCCGGCGGCAGCGGCTTACTTCAAACACCAGCGTCTCATTAGTCGGTCCGGCAGCATACAGGCTCTCTGGCTTGTTGAAAGAGCGCTGGTAGTCAAACACGGTCCCGCCGAAGTGGAACTTCCCGGGCCAGTCCACAGTCCAGTCCCCGGTCAGGTAGTACTTCCTCTTCAGTGAGCGGACGGCCAGGTAGCTGGTGGACGCTTCCATTTCCTGAACGTGAATGCTTCGAGCCCCAGCCGGAACCGTCACCAGTGAGAAATACTCTGGAGCAAAAGATGAGGGGAAATCACTTTGAGTTCAATGACATATTCATTTTAATTATCGCTTCATTCTTAGAGCATATCAAGTTCAACCCTTGTGTGATTGGGCCATGAACTTATCCCCTTTCTCTGCTGAGTCAAGCCACGGATTAGAAATAATTGCCTGGCCATGGTTGTTGCCGTGTTGAGTGTGTGCGACCTACAATGTACAGCCACACAACAACAACCCAAGATAAACTGACCATTGGTCCGGTGCTGAAGGTTGTAATGGCCCTTGAAAAACTTGCACGTAGAGTTGTCCCCCTTACAGACTCCACAGGCATCCAGAGAAGCCTTAGATCCCAGAATGTGGTCACACCCCACACCCTAAACAAACACAAAAAAGACCAAGAACACATGTGAGAATAGAGACAAAAAAACATGGCAATTTCCTTATTTATGTTGAGAAAATAAAACACAATTTATATAATGGTTTAACTTAATATCATCTAAGTAGGCATGTGGTCAATGGATTAGACAGACCTTTAAAAATATGGAGGAAATGCATATGAATCACATCTTTCAACACAAAGAAATACCCATTAGAGATTCATTTTTGACACATTGCCTTACTTCCTCCGTTTGTGTTACTTGTTCTAAATCCTGTGAGGTGACATTAACCCCTTTTCGATCAGTGTCATCACTAACATGTCACAAAAAATCTTTTTTTTTCCACAGCCGATTTACCTCACACACTCCATCAATGCAGACGTCTCCTCTATGGTCGGAGCAGGAAGTGCCGTCTTTCACTTTGCTGGCCATCGCGAAGAAAAAGTCAAAGTCTTCTGCAATGCAGTACAGCTTACAGATGTCCTCATCTGCACGGAGAGGGAACATTTGCACAGGATAACATACAGATTACAAAACACCTTACATCAGTAAACTGTGCAAACTGTTGCAAGCTGTCACAATTCCAGGATATGAAGTTGTTGCTGGAACTGAAGTGGAAATGACAGAAACTGGACCACGAAGGCATCCAGCAGGGGCTCACGAGGGACCGTGAGTTTATTCTCTATTGCACATCAGTCATCACGGACAAGTCTGCACAGCCGTCTTTTATTAAAATAGATGATGCTTAAGGTGACTTGGCCCAAGATCCCATGAGGCAGCTCCGAATCTTTTCCTCTCTACATCACCCCCCATTCATCAGGAGCTTAAACCGGCCCGGGACGTCGGCTCTTCCTCACTGCACTCTCTCTCACTTTCTTAGCGTAACAAAGCTGGCCCTCGGGCTTCCTTTTTAAATCCATCCCCTCTGTCTGAGGGTACAGGCAGTGACATGTCCCCCTATGCACACCACACAAAGCTACAGCTTCGTGTCTTCGTCTTTTTGGCTCAAATCGCTGCAAAGGTAAATAAAGGTTAGCGCTATAGAAATGCTTTATAAAAGACCGGGACAAGCAATAGGGCACAGGGAATTAAGACAAGAAAAAAGCTTGTAATGAGCCACCCGGAAACCACTTTGCCCTCAGGAACTGAGGAGGGGGGGGTACTCTGACAGATCTAGGGATGGTGTAAATCGTGGTATTCATTTAATCATCTAACTACCTTACCGTCAACTTTGGTGTAGGGCTTCCATTTATAGTACCAGCCCCTGAAGGGCTTGCTGTTGTACTCGGCGCACTGTTGGGCCCGGAAGCTCACAGCCCCAGGAGGGCAGGGCCGATAGTTGCACAGCTGGTTGACCCGACTGGAGCCGGAGCAAAATTTGCCATTGTTCTGTGGCCTGAAAGACAAAAAAAAAGGGGCACTTGTTTTATCATCAGAGCGCTGTTGGGAACGTACCGACAATATCACTCAGGTTAAGCTCTAAATTAACTTTTATCATCAGATTAGTTTACAGAAGAAACAGTAGGAAAAAACCCACCCAAGAGTCTCTTACAGTCATTACGGATTAGATGAGTTATCTCTGTCAAAAGGCTCTTTCAGTCACATTATGTTAGATTTGCATGTACTGTTTTTAATTGTAGGTTGCAAATGCTAAATAGAAAAATTGTTAGCTTTTTTATGAGCTGACTTTGTAGTCTTGTTCAGATAAATACCCACAAACAATTAAAGCATTTTTCTTTTTAGCTATAAGCCCAGCAAATTCCTCTTTGGCTCACCCTACATTTATTTAATTGGTCGATAACATGGTAAGGTATTGTCATACAGGTGAGTTAGCCAGAGATATAACATCAAAAGGAAGCCAATGCTTTGAGCAATTATGAGTGACCTGTGATGCAGTGTTGGAAACCCAGGAAGTAGACTCAGACAGAGAGTGCTCTGGGCAGTCTCAGGCTTTGGAATATGCAAAGTCAATGTAGATCGAAAGGAGTAAGAAGCACCATGCTCTAAGTCCCAAAAGCTTCTCTCGCGTGGCTTCTTTGGCTGTTATGCAACGTAGGAATTGCATTGCACAAGTCCCAGAAGTAAAACAGAACGCTGTAACTAGATGAAGTCAAACGGAGCTCAAGGTTGAAACTGGAGAAGATCCACCTTTATATTTTGGCTTTCTCGTCGTAAAAGGTAAAGTTCCCGTGTTGAGTCTGTGCAGATTCCAGAATTTAATCCCTCTTTCCACACATCTAAAAGGCACTTCAGCTCATATATATCAATACTCAAATAGCAGCATTTTTTGTTTTTGAAGACCACATTTTGTACGGAATCAGCAAACAAAAAAGATTTTTAATTAGAAATTTAGATTACAAATTAGTTTACTGTTACCCTGGCACAGTTGAACTGTTAGTTTTGAAGCAGCATCTTTGAAACTGTAGGAGCAAGATGAGGCGTGTCATCAAAATGATGGAAGGAATCACCACTCGTTGGACAAAGGGAAGCGGGGCCTTTTAATGAACATCAGGATGCCGCATCGAACTTCCCAGGCTTTTTTAACTCATGCCAGGCATTCCGACTCAACCACCAACAGAGAAAATTGAGTTTAGTTGTTTACCAAAGTGGCCTGTGCACGCACACACAAAGCCACACGCGCAGCCCGGGGAACAATACTGTCTCTCATAAAAAATAAAAAAACTGATCACCAAGTGCTAAAATGAAGCACAACGCTTGGAATAGGGTCTAACTAATGCCAAACAGAACACCACATGCGGACAGCATCCCCTCTGTGCGGCGACACTGAAAACCTGTGTGAAATGGTGGTCAGTCAGAAGCAAATACTCATACTGACCGCTACTTTGTATATTTTCTTCAACTTGAGAGCTCGTTCCTTCCATTTAGACCTGGAATCAATCACAAAATCACTCTGCCCCCAAAGAGTAACAGAGTTCCTTCCGCTCAAGGTGTGTGAGCAAGTGTGTACATCTGTTCTGTAACTGTGAAAGGTTAGATTTGGTACAAGATTTCATTGTCCTGATCCTAATAAGACTTAGTAGCAGACCAACTCAGCCCATATGGTAATGTGCTTACTGTGGGCCGGTAGGGGACCACATGACATGCTCTGTCAATGCAGGTCTCCCCGATCGGAGCACAGAGGGTGGACCATTTACTTGAGAAAGGTAATGAATCCTCCTCACTGACTGTGGACTGTCTGCCCATAATCTTTGTTTCTGTTTCTCTTCTCTTGGTCGCACGAGTCTTTTTCTCTGCGAATACACTGCACAACAACTCAGCGGAGAGCAAATCTGAAACGTTTTTAGTGTGCGCACCTCGTGACCCTTATGGGTGCTTACATACCCCTGTAGCCTAATAAATCTGCCCCAGCGACAGAAGCGGAAACTCCTACGGGTCAGAGGTCATCACGTGAACTGTTGTCTTCTTCATGACTCACCTGCTTCCTCCTGGATTTCCCACTCCGCATTTCACACATGCAAACGGATCCACATTCCTCCCTGCTGGGCTACCGGTCCTAAGCAAGTCGAGGTCTTTGGGAATCTCCCCCAGTCGAGAGGCCACCTGAGCGCTGCTGCACTGTCCATCCTATTAAATCGAGTGTATAACTAAATGTGCTCCCTGCCAAAGCGGGTTGAGATGGGGCGCGTAATCCGCCATGCTTGTTGGTGTGGATTAAGCTGACTGTGTTTGATCTGGCAGGTGGTCTTCGGGGGAAGGAAGGAACAGGGAAGGAAGTGGATGGTGGTGGGGAGCGAGGAGGGGGAGATGCTTCATTCAGGTTTTTGGAACCACTCCTAAATCTCATCCCCAAACATCCTTTACAAGAATGGGGAGAAGATGGCTGGGGTACTAAAAACTGTCCGAAACAACCGCTTGTTTCTGACTAAACCGAGCAGAATGTCTCATACTGCCCAGATACTTGGGTTATGCCGTCGAAGATGACATTGGGGGGGAAGATTCAGGCTAATCCGTCTTGTTCTACTCAGATTAAGCTCGGAGGGGACTTGCCAAAATAATCACAGAGATTACTGTGTACGAACGCACAATGCAAATGCCAGGAGTCAGGGACTAAAACGTGACTAAGGGGTACACGCTCCAGTCTGGATGAGCTCTGAGTGTACTCTGTGAACTCTAAGGGTGGTATATTGGATTGATAATAATATCATAGGTTATTAAAATTGATAACAATGCGGATGTCTGCATGTTTCAGCTCTAGGGGTCATTGGGGCTTAAGACGATGTCAACCCATTCTCTAATAATGATATCATGACTTGGCATTATTGGATTGAATGTCTACCCTTCAACATCTTTCCATCCTCTCGATGTGCCATTGACCCTAAAGCTCGCCGTTTAGCGGCCGCAATTAATTCTTTCACCAGCTGCTACAACAAAGTGCCTTTAGTGGCACAAGAATGATAAATGAAGTTGACAGCTAACCTGCTTTAAAAGGCTCTGTGGCTCTGTCAGTCATGGTGTATAATGTGTATCATATGAGGGACAGACCGCCTCTAAAAAGAAACATCTTTGATCCCTCTCAGGGATTGGAAGACAAGTCGGCTCTGATGGACAGAGCAGCCATCTCGCTGTCTGCCTAAATGTTAAGAAATCAGTCTTTAAATGAGCTGTTGAAATTAAACAACAAAAAGAAAGTAAGATACTGGGATGAGAAAGAAGGAGCACGTACGGATATATTGTTTTTTAATTAAATATTTCAAACAAGATTGAAAAAGCTCAAGTCATCCTATTGCTGATGTGTCCTCCGCAGTGCAACTATTGCAACAAAAAAAAAGGAGATGCCAAGCAGGCTGTGTCGTAGAAAATAATTAAATGAGAAACAGCCCAGAGTCAGAAATCACGTCCAGGAAGTTCAAGAAGTTCATTCGGTTGGAGTAAAACCATCATTTTAAAGCAATTCGTCACTGCTGCCAAAATAGGCATCTTTCCTGCTATTGACAATTCCAATAATTCAATAACAGATCACATGTCTGTAAGAAAGCATGATATTTCTATTTAAAAGGCAGCACTGATAACCAGTTATACCATAAACTGTAGATAACACTAGTTATCATGCCACTACTAACCAATGAACAACCATTAACGTGTTTTTAAGAGTACTATTAGTAATAGAGTAGTAGAGTTATTTCGCCGTATGGCCACCCCATGTGTGTGTTTTTTGTTTAGTTTTGTCCAAACTCCTATGCAGCAGCTTTTAAATTAATACTATTTCCACAAAAAGCAATGAAAGACAAACGATTAAAGATCATTTCTAAATGTATCCAAGTTAGCTTTTAAACCCAAACATTGAGTTAAAAAGCAAATGACATTTCTGTCACAAAGCGTCTCACCATGACAAACAACCTGAGATCTGCCACAGTATCATACTTTAAGTTCACTTGTGTATTTGCAATCTCATTTAATTCTGGATATTTTAAGCTTGTTCGAGCCGGTCTAAATACTGTAGATGTCCCTCAAGCAGAAGACTGTGAACCCTTAAAAACAACCCATTACCTCTGATGTCAGCCAGTGAAACAAAAGATCTACAAACGTCTAATAAATCTCCAAGAGTTACAACAAGAGACAGTGTTTTTTCTCAAGGAATTTAACGCAACCATCAAAATTCTCCATTGTGCTTGTAGAAACGTGCACAGAGCTCTTTCCTAAGAAGCACATCTGCACCGTGGGATAGCGATCCGCAATAGTGAGCCGCTCAGGTAGTACAAGTGAATATTTATTGTCTTGCCAGCTTTCAGAAAAAAAGAGGGACACTATTAGGAGGTTTTCCTTGTCTAGAGCACGGGGAGAGATAGTCTGTCTGTCTGGACTGTCAGCCTGACAGATGAGAGCTGTTATCAGAGTGTGTGTGTGTGTGTGTGTGTGCAGAATACGTGTAGATTTACATGCTGACAGCTACCTGGCACGCAGCTCTTTCAGGTGTTCTGAAAGGAAAGTTTTTGGGACATAAGGCCTTCAAGAATTACTTTCTGGCCCAAACTACAGCTCAGCTTTTTACTGTCAGCTGCGTGACAACATGAATCACTTTGTCATCTGTTTGGCAACTTAATCTGATATAAAGCATTAGCATGAAGGTGATGAATTACATTATGACTGTACAAGTGTGTACAAGTGTGTATGTACCTTGGGCTGGTGCAGGAGCGCTCCCTGTACATGATCCCTCCTCCACAGCTTCGGGAGCAGTCTGACCACTGAGACCAGGGTGACCACTGGCCGTGGACGGCCCTCGGACCGTGGTCCCCGTATTTGACACACTGACCCCTCCGACACCACTGCAGAAAATAAGAAAAGTTTCAATGACAGAGGAGGAGAGGACGAATATACGTTCCTTATCAGTGATCAGGTGGTCTTGGCTGACTTCCCGATCTTGGACAAATGCCCAGCACCACACCTGGACACCCAGGCTCACCGGCTGCAGCCAGAACACTCACACGCAGACAAACACGCACATAAACCTTTACTGTGTGGCGGGTGTGTACCACACCCCAGCTGGTCAGAGCCAATCCGGCACTCACACACATCACCACCTCTCTCTTTCTCTTTCTAAATATCATGTTCCAATACATAGGAGAAGATGCAGTCCAGCTTAGAGCGTTGATGGTCATCAAAATGGTTTTGCAGGTGGACGTGCTTTTGGGAACAGCACAGACTCAATGTAACTATTTGAACAATAACACAAAACAACATTTTTACAATGCATTCCAAATCTGATTTTCAGTGTGTTTGATAGCAAACATCTTCTATGCTTTCAGCAAACTATGCCAGCAGCATCATCAAAACTGAAACATACCAGGAATGTCTTTCTGGATCATCTTACATTCAAGTATATTTGGTGGCAAGTGAGGGTGTCTTGATTAGTTATAAAATTAACATCCTTTAAAGTCCAAGACTTTCTGGGCCAGGATGGGTTGTGCCCAGACTTTTTGCTACATTCTATTATAGATTCATCAATAAGCCCCCCAAACACCACACCAAAAAAAAAGAAATCTGTCAATTCCAGATTGCAGAAAATTTTGTACTTTCCGCATCTGAAGTGCATAATATTCAGAGGAATCGGGGGGAGAGCTTAGTTGATAAAGGCCAAAAGTAGAAACCTGAGCCCACATTTCCAGTGGTTTTAGGGAAAACAGATGACTGGTTCCCCAGGCCAGATATAAAAAAAGACCCTCTCCGCTGCCATACTAACTATGCTGAATCAATTGTTGGAATTTTGGAAAGACATGTGTTGCCATCAAACTGGGGTCTCGAATAATTTACCAAGACAATGCCAGGCCTCCTTCCGTTTGACTCAGACTGTGTGTTGTTGAACGGCCTGCTTGCAGTCTGCTTACCGTCTCAAATTGGGAATTTACGATGCATCAAAAAGAGGAGAATCAGGCAACCCTCACTTCCCTGCCGAAGCATCCTTGGGCAAGACACTATGTATAGACAGCACCGTGTGGCCCATAAAAACTAAGATGTGCCATATGAATATGGTTGAAGTAGTTTCTCAATAGTCAGCTAACCTAGAAAAAGCATTGTACAAGTACAGCTCATTCTCCACTCTTACCACTACATCATTATTAGGTCAGTGCATAAACTGTGGGGCAGATCATTTTAAGACTGGCTGTTTTTAGCTTTTCAAAGAGCAATGGAACCTTTCCTCACCATATCTGGACCACAAGTGGTGCCCTCCGCAGCAGGCATGAACTTGGTCTCACACCGGTGCCCCGTGCGATGACACCACAGCGACTTGCAGATGTCCTGCCAAATAAAACGCGCACAAAACAAGAGACATTCATTAAAGCTACGGGCTTTATGCTGTCATCAGTGTGTGGCACCTCTGATTCCTCCCCTATTTCCTCCTCTCTGGCCCCGCAGCACCTGCTACTTGCCAGGACCACCATAGAGCCCCAGCGCCCACAAAAGGCTTCACCACAAACAATTTGTGTCAAATCCAATCACTGTACTTCTTTAATGAAACGGGCTATAATTGTACGTGTCATCTGGCCCGACAAAACAGAGACAGTGCACGTAAGTGCAGAAGAAAAGCCGGGGTCGAAAGACAGGCGGCCCAGGCTGGCTGAACCCCCCCAAATCCAAATAGCAGTAAGAGAGGAAAGCAGAGGGGAACAGAAGAGGCAGTTGTGTGTGTTTGATTTCTCATTCTTATCCAAATCTACTTCCCATTTACTGAGCAGGAGGGGGGGGGGGGCAACAATGTCGCCATGCCCAAAAACTCCTCAGAAAGCCAACAAGAACAAATGGTGTAAACATGTAAAATAGTGCTCCCAAATCCACTGTGACTCAACATGTAGGTTCATTTACCACCCACTGCCTGGTACACAGGTCTAACACATGCAGATGTAGTATTTGATCTTCTGTTTGGGATCTTAAAAGGCATCTGGGGAAATTGTTGAAAGGCCATGGCAATGTCATGTGAGCAAATCCCTCAATATAAGCTTTGGCAAAGTCATTTTCCCAGCAGCCTAGCAAAGGGGGAAGCCTGTAGCATCTTAAACAGCATTTACATGTGAATTAACATCTCTGAATGCACATAGAACTGAGGCCTATATTAACGCTAGAATGACTCTGGGCTCAGTAGCGCAGGGTAACCCATTCAAATCGTGCCGGGAGTGGACGAGGCTGCTGTGCAAAGATCATGCTAAGTAATAAAGAGCCAGTTTAGCACTGGATCATTAGTGCTATAAAGCCGACAATCCCTGGCCCTATATGAACGAGCCGCGCTCCTCATTACCGAGGGCTATTGTGAGTGTCAAAGTCAGCAAAGGGGATGCATGAATAGTGAGTGAGTGGGGATTGTAAGCCCATGTGGAACCAGGGCTACTTTCCTACCATAGATCAACATCTCTACAGCTCAGACACAGGGCTGTGTTAATAGCCTGGTGCATAATGAATAATTATGTGTTAACTCCTGCCGCTGTGTCTGACAGTTTGCGGCAGGTCATTATTTTTGCAAACATCTGATCGATTATGATAGATGTTTTTTTGCTTTTCTATGCGCAGACAAACAGCTGCTCGGCAGCAGGATGCATCAGGCAGCCACTCACAAGGTGACCTGAAGTTTCTCGGTTGAGCAAACGTAGACAAAGTAAATACAAAAGTGACACAATTTCAAAATCCTTCTAATTTCTGTCAGGTTAAAAAACCCTCTTCACATCAGCACTTCAGATAACTTGCATGCTCGAATTGCGTATAGCTCCTCTGAGCCATTTAATAATATCATAATGATAGTGACTAAAAGGTTCAGGAGAATTCACATATATGCATTTGTCAGGCAATACAAGTTTACAGTGACACGAGACTGGGAAAAAAAGTATTATTTTCACACATGTAGGCTGAAAATTAAGACCCCTTGGTTGATTAGTGTCAAAATTTAAGAAAAGAAAAAAAGAGAATATGCAGCAATCCATTAAAAGTCAAACAAAAAATGCAATCAATGAACATACTACCTTGACAAAATCAAGGCTGCACAGTTTCGCCTTGGAGCCAAACTGCCACTTGCACTGGGTGTCTGCGTCATACAGCTGCCCCGGGAGCTGCTCGGGATACTTATACTGACCGATCTGCCTGGGCTCGTCCCCGAGACAGGACGCCTGGGCTGTTCTGGTAAAACACACAACGGCGACAGTTTAAGTCAGGAGGAGAGCAGCGTCACTGGCGGGGGCCTGAACGACTTACCCAAGGAAACGGCTGAGGTACTGCCGGCTGCAGGTGGACCAGGAGAAGACCCCGTTGTTACCGGCCAGCGTGGGGGACATGATGTTGCCCTCCGTCTTGCGACAGGGGTTCCCTTCTCCGTCATGTATCATTCCAAAACTGCGAGAAAAAAACAAACAGAAACAGAAATGTCGCATGCAAAGCCTGTCATAAAGTTTACATTCCCTAACAAACCTACTGTATTTCCTCAGGATAGTAAACATGGGAGTTTCTGCACTCCTCCATTCATCACTATGTCACATTTTTAACAATTACCTCTTTGTTAATTTGCTAAATAACGAACAGCTTTAGGATACTGAAGCTTATGGATACGCGGTAACGCTATCACCTGGATGAAGTCTAACAAAACACCTAGACAAATATCACAAGTCTGATCTCTCTGGAAAACATACAAAGTATAAACACAGACCAGAGCTGCCTCTGGCAGTTCCCATTATTCTTTCATGAAGTGTTAATGAGGGTATTTGTATTTAAAACTGACGAAACATATTCATTCATAAGTCACATCTGATTTAACAGCATCCCTCTGTAATGGCAACAAAGAGCTATATTATGTGTAAGCCTCTGTCAAGGCTGGTTTCTGATTTTTACAAAAACATTTTTTTTTTTCAAACATACTTGTGTCCAGACTCGTGTGCAATTGTGAAAGCCAAGCCCAGTCCTGTATCCTCATTGATGGTACAGCTTCTATACTTACTGCACATGCCACTGATCGGTGCGAAACCTGCAAAGACATAACAAAAGCGAAGGTGTTAGTAGCTATCATTCACTTGAAAGGCATAACTTAACTCAATTGAGCGCGCATTGTCTGGGAAATGATATTTTGTTCCTTCCTCCGTGTTGTTCGCAATGCATTCCACTGTGACAGCTTTGGCAAGCAGCAAGGCTCTGTCTCATATGTAGGATATTAATCTATGTGCTTACAAGAAGGGGAATTTCAAACAAACTGCCAGGTGCAACCACACAAGCCCTGCATGAATTGAGCTAAGATGGTTTCTCAGACTGTTACGGTTGATACAGCGGGACGATTGCTGATGGTTCGACCCGACACCCATCCATCCACTTTGTGTACAAGCTAGACACTGATCTGGGTCATGGTGTGCTGGAGCCCATCCAAGCTGCCACTGGAGGAGAGGCGGGGAACATCCTGGACAGATGTGGACCTGACAACTTTCGGAATAAGATAACTAATCCTAGATGTGGGATTAAGTATAACTGACAAGCTAGTAGGAATACTCCGAAGTGGTTCCTAATATTTTTCTCTTTCCCTGGCAGCGGCTGGTCCCGAAGGACCCGAAAACGTAAGAACTTTTGCAGAGAAACGTCTGCATTTACAATACGGAGTTGTCAAACACGTCTCGGGCTTTAAGTGGAAGAAGTTTAACTTTAACTGCACTGGCTCGGCTTTGTTTGCTGTGTTGGTTATGGTCAGTCTGTTTGTGTTTTCGGCTCTTCTTTTGCTCCAACAAACATTTGACAGGAAGCTTTTACATTTCCCCATACATTAACGACCCTATCTAACCTATATGTATACACCGTAACTGTTAAAAAGGCAAAAAACAAAATTACAACAAGGAAAACTTTCCCATTTCAAATCATGTTTATGTGTCAAGCATACATGATTCTACGTTATATTCGACACACCGATGCATCCACCTTTTATTCCCACCACTTGCTCTTACCCAGGGTGTCACAGGGTTCGTTCTTCCAGGAGCAAATATCAAGTCCGGTAAGGAGAACAGCATGGTCATGACGCTTGCCTCCTTTCCCCACCAGACCCGACTGCCACTGACAGAAACTATTGAGAGACTGGTCAGCGTGGTGACTTAAAGTCAAACCCAACTGCGGAGAGAAGAGGCAAACAGAGGTGAGGGGTGAAAAGGGTGGCTGTGTTAACAAGCGTCAAGTAGAAAAACAAAAAAAAACAACCAAAAAGGAACATAGTTATGCATAGTTAGTTTGAATCCACTCACTGGGTCCTGTTCCAGCAGCAACAGGCTAACCACCACAATGTTGATGTCTGTTCCGATGGTTCCATCTTTGAAAAGACTGGAAACCTAAACAAAAAGGTTTTTAAATAAATAAAACAGGAAAGTCTTTTTTTTAGCAATGTCCAAGTTGTCTTTTAACTCTCAGATATTCCCAGCGTACAGGGTTTTCTGGATGACCATGAATGCTCCTAATCTCTAAGCGTTTCGAAGGATATTTTGATATTTTGAAACCTAAGCAGTGCCAGCAATGCAAAACGTGAAGCAGTCAAAACTCCAAGAAGCAGAGCCATGACTATAAAACTTTCATTTCTATTTTATTTTTAGCAAAGTATGACTAAATTAGTAACGTGTACAACTTAAGACTTTGACTAAGATGGCTGATTTGCTTTAAAAAAGGCCAATCGTTTAATCCTTATGAATCAGGGCTGACAGTCTTTTTTACGGGACTTTGCTGAACTTTTAAGTGTTCGACTTTTCCGCGTTCAAAGGCGAAGCTGCTATCAGCGTTCTCACGCATTAAAAATAAAAGAACAAAAACATTTCACAGCTAATGTTATCAAAACTGACAGCATACAACCTAACAGGAAAAGGCCACGAAACGAGAAACTTGGGTTTTTGTCCAGCCAGCCTGGGTAAAAATGGGAAATGTGCCCAATTCCTTTTCATATGTGCGACCAGATTGAACCTGCTCCTTCAAAAAAAAAAAAAAAACTTCCATGAAGTGAGAGGAATATGCCTTAGTCAATGTAACAGAGATATCTTTACTCATTTATGAATTTGTTTATTTATTTGTGTTTTTTTACAAAACTATTTTTCTAGAACAACCATTCAAATATTGCTTGTTTTGAGGGCATTCCTTTTTCTCCATAACTGTTTCTTGCATTGCATTACTCTAAAATGAAAATTTCTGTTAGCGAAGCCTTATCAGAAATAGTAGAAAAGTGCCCAAAAGATTTGCTCGGCCAGTTGATAGTTCTTCTGCCTTTGCAGGTCAGTGGCATGTTCAGAGACTATCCTATTACAGGTTAATTTTTGACAGTTTTCAACAGATATTTCTCTAAAAATCATCTTCCTTTCCCTTGCCTCCCCCATGCCTTTCCAACATTACCATATTCATCACTGTGAGGACGTAGGTGGTGACATTCTCCCTGCCGTGCTTTTCCAGCATCTTCCTGTCTGCCACCACCAGGGTCTCTACATTCAGCCCTCCCACTCTGTTGGAGTTGATAGGGGATCTCTTTGACCTCCCGGGCCCTTCTACATCAGGCAACGCGAACTCATCGGGCATGACGAACTCGTCCTCTGTGGGGGGCTTGGGAGTGTCTAGGAAAGTAAAAAAACGACAGAGAAAAAGAAAGGGAGGGGGGAAAAGAGTGGTGATACAGAGAGGGAACCTTGCAGTGATGATAGCAATACACGTTCCAGCATTGAAATGATGGGAAATGACTCTCCTGGTTGCTTCCTCTCTAAACTATAGCCAACTATTTTTCCTAGTATACCTGCTGTGCTATCAGCCGTCTATCATCAGCTTTAGGCTGCACTGTTACTATGGCTACAATATCCCTTTTTCCAAAATTGTACCGGTTTTCCTGCTGGCACACACTGCATTACCATCAAACAAAATAATGTAAGATGCATTAGGGTAGGCTATAAGGAATAAAAGGTTCCCTTACATACATTGCTTGCGGCGGCCACAGAAGTGTTGCCTCTGCTGCTTTCCCCGCTGGTGGTCACGATGCTGGTGATAGCGAAGGTAAGAATTGTCCGATCTGGAGGAATCCGAGCCAGTCGGGCCTCTGGAGCCTCCGTGAACGACGCGTTCGGCGGAGCGCTTGTACACCACGTGAGGGTGGTGGCCATCGGGGGCGCTGTAGTTGTGCTGCACAGCGAGATGTTGGGGGAGCGGGGCTATCAGATACTCCTCCTGCGACACGCGGATCAAACCCGACTGGGAAAAAGAGCACAGACAGACGCACAAATCGTGGAGAATGAGTTAAGAACGGATCGCTCAATCAGTGCCACAAAAAGTCAGGCTAAACTCTGTACATCTGGAAAAAAAAATTGAGAGAGAAAGAGCGTTCAGGTGAGGTGTTTCAAAAGTTACCCTCACAAATTCGGTGACGACAGGTTTGTTCTCACTTTACCCTCTCCTTAAACGGACTCCGACGTAATGACGGAAGGAACAAGACAACTCAGCGTGAGGTGTTGACGGGCCCAGTTGTGTCTCTCTCTATATATATATATTGTGCACTTTCAAAAGGAAAACTTGGCATCCTACACGTTGTACATTCTGTATTACTAAGTGTGACATTGCAGTGACGTGCACCACACGCTGAAGTCAGCCCTGCGATGGTATTTGACGGCACAAAGCTGTTAATTTTGCATTGTCAGGCATCGCTCATGGACAGCGGATCCGGAGCAGCTGCGTCCAGCCGTCAGTCCAACTTTAGCACACGTTTCACCCGTCCACATCAACCCTGCCTCTCGAGAAAGTCCTAAAGTTCATTTTCTTTCATTTGGAAAGAGAAAAGGTTAGGGTTAGGGCAAAAAAATTTGTTGAACCCTGGAGCAAGGCCACGTTTTTACAAGAGACGTCAACATCCATTTTGATCTGTAGAGGAGCTTCTTTTTTTCTGCTATTGTTCCCAGATACAATATAGATCAAATCAATTTATCCAGGCAGCGCAGCAGCCCCTCGTCACTGTTTGGGCTCACTGTTTGAGTCAAGTGCCCCGAACTGCCCTCTGAACTGAGAGACTGAACTACTGAACCTTAAACATTCCGTCTGACCACGGAGTGCTACCTAATTCACTCTGAGACTCGGTAAATGTACACAAAATAGCTGTGCAATCGAGAGACGCCCCATTCGCTGGATTTTAATAAAAACACACGACAAGTACACCCACTGACCCAGTGACTTCTGACCCGTTTCTTTGTGTGCATGTGTCATGTCTTTCGACGGCATTGCCCACACGAGTGTGTCTGTGTGTGCGACAGCGCCCCGCTCCAGTTTAACTGACCCCGTTCCCCCCCAGACTAGCAGGTGGCAAAATCAACAGAGGATGGACAAAAGGAAAGCCATGGTGAGGCTCTTGTTGTCAAAACAGTGGCTGGATATATGGCAGACTGCCATCGTCAGACCCATCCATCCATGCGTCCATCCATGCAGGCGTCCATCTCATCCAGCTGCCAGCACATCCTTCGTTTGTTCCCACAAATCATCTGTTTCCTCCATCAGTCCCTCCGCGTAACATTTTGTGGGAAGCTGTCAAAATTCATTATTATGAGGACTCACGAGATCCTCGTGATCCATAAGTTGGCCGTCTTTCATGCCGTGTCAACAATATATATATAAATAACTGCCAAAAACTGAAAAAATTCAACTTTTAAGTAGAAAAACTTTTAAGCTTTAATACTTCAAGCATACCCCAGCAAAGCAGAAAACAGAAAAAAAAAAAGAAATAGGCGATGAATAAAATATATCGACATTAAATCTGAATAAAAAAAAGATCGTCAAAGGCCCAACAAAAAAAATAAAAACGCTGCTTCCTAATATAGATCGGCTCTAAAAGAGAGCTATAGAAGGTCAAAGGGAGGTGTCTTACATCAGCAAACACCGCTGTCGCTCCTTGTTTGCCCATCTTTTCATCTGTCTAACCTTTACCACAAACCTGACCCGTAATAACACACACCTCATCAGATCGTCCTCTTTTGAAGAGGAGGCCCGCGGCTTTCTTTTGACAACACCAACGTGTGTCTTGAGCAGTCATCCCCGCGACGAGGAGGGATAGGTTCCTCGACCAACCCTCCGCTAAGAAATCAATCAAAAAAAGGAAACGCTCAGTATGACTAATAGTACAGTGTATGCTGTGGCGTATGGATGCATAGACACATATCTCTGCATGTCTCTGCAGCAGCACCACATCTGTCAGCCCCTTTTCTTTCCCAGCACTTAGCAGATGGAAGTGTCTGTGATGATAATGACAGGAAATTAATTCCATCTGCTATAATGGTGCTGTGTGTGTGTGTTGTGTGTGTGTGTGTGTTTGTGAGCGTATAGATAAAATCTTCTTTTGTCAGCATGTACTATATGTTTTGGTGAAAACCACAGCACGGCTTCACTTCGGATTCTTTATGTTTGCTCGAGTGCGGTGGGGTATGCTGTCATGCAACATGGGGGGGGGGGGGATGCACGAGTACATCGGCATGTCAAATACACACACCCTGCGTGTGAAGTTTATTTGCAGATGATTGAGAATCTACGGGGCAAAACGTGCAGACAACAAGAGATAACTTGAACTTGCAGTATAATTAGAAATACATCTCTCCTATCGCTGAGCTTTCTTCTTTTTTTCATATCATATCTCCTTTTACAACTTTTTTGCCACTAAATTTGTAATTGGACTGATATCCGAATCAAAACATAAAGCAATGTTAAAGCTTGTGGATTTCATCCTGACACAATGAAAAGGCAGCGGTCCCATTTTACGCCCATGTCTAGTCTGTGGTTTTTCGCATGTTAGTTGTTTCTTTCCTGTATCTGGGGTTTTGTGGTTTGATTTTTTTGGGATTTACAATTTGTTTTGTGTGCTGTATTTTCGGAAATTCCACAAACATACCCTGTCCCTGTGACCGCTCCTCAGCTGCCGGGTGCTCTTCTTCTTTGTCAGACCCTCGCCACGGCAACCAGTTTGTTTCCTGCCCTGTTTAGCCACTGCCACTTTAGATTTATGTGTGTTTAGATGTTTAGAGCGCTCGTCTTTGAACTCCAGCGTCAGCATTCAGCAGCCTATGAGCTGATAACAGCTTCATCAAAACTTGCCTGGTCCCTGAAAGGTTCCCACATGGTTGCATTTCAAAAACTCTCTTTGATTGGAATAGCAGCTCCAAATGTAAAAACAGATTTGTGTACCAAAACGTTGCTGTTGTTTTTGTCTCTCTCTCCCTTCTTTCAATCACTTCACGAACCCTCAAATCTTCTGTCAAAAACACAGATATTCCCTGAACACTGAGTGGGCTGCGTGCTTTGAACCCCACAAAAGCTTCCACACTGTTGGAAAAGCACTCCAGGTGATGGTGAAGGTGCCAAGACATTGTCAGCAAAACAAAACTAAGCTGATTCTAATCATCTAAACTGCAAAGCTGTTGTACATTACATTGTTCTAAGATGATCTATCCATTTTCTATAATTAGTATATCCTGCTCAGGGTCAGGGGGATTGGAGCGAGTGCGAACTGCCATAAAGTGAGATGCGGAGCACACCCCGGACACAATGCCAATTCATCACAGACAAATAGACAACCGGTCACACCCAAACATTTAAATCCACTCAATCGCCGTTTCATCTGACATGCATGTCTTTGGACTAAGGAGGGGGAGGCTCAAGAGAAAACCCATGCGAACGCAGGGAGAAGAAAGAAAAATAACACATAAAAAGTCATCTATATGTTAGTATAGTACAGTACCCTGTGAAAGTAATAACAAATCCCCTCCATCCATTATCTATACAGCTTAATTTCAGTGGGGTCAGCTTGGACAGGTCACAAATCCATCTCAAAGCCACACAGAGAAAAAACAGCCACACAAACTCATATTCACTCCTAGGGGCAATTTAGAGCGTGCAATTGACCTAACATGCATGTTTTGGGATGGTGGGAGGAAGCTGGCGTGCCCGGAGGGAACCCACACAGACACATGGAGAAGATGTAAAACTCCACACAGAAGCAGCCCCGTGTCCCCGGGGAGTCCAAACGGTGCTAACCACCACACCATCACCTTTCCCATTTGACCCTTTTACTTTTAAGATTTTCAGCTGGGTGCGTGACTTTGGAATCTGGCCATACCTTTTGGGTTTTTATTATGAATGGTGAATGGTGAACCTTCCAATATATCAATGTAAATTATATTCAATGTCAAAAATGTCAGAAATATATATGTGTGTGTGTCTATAGATAGATAGATAGATAGATAGATAGATAGATAGATAGATAGATA